AAATTTTAATTTACGATCATTCAACTGCAACGTTTCATAGATAGCAAAATATATTTAAACAGCAAATTCCGACATATTATTATGGGTAGGCGTATAAAAGTAATAATGATAATGATGGTAATTCGCCGAAGAAAAATATGAACAAATCCTTAATTAGAATTAAAATTTGGAATAACAATGTGTAAAGTACTGGTCTCTGACAGGCTTGTTAATTTGGTTCAAGTGAAAAATCTTGAGTGATGGGTAATAAGATATTTACACATTTGATGATAGTAAATCCAGAAAAGCGCTTCGGACGCACGAAATCTATAATATGATACTATCATTTAGCTCGTGATGACTTCGTTTCAGTATTCTAAAACAATGATGTCCTTGTTTTGGTTGATACATGAGGATTTTTCCCGATATATATTAACCCAATGTACAAAGTTCAGGCATACCGTGTGTGTTTAATAACCGATACTCTGATTTGAAAATTCTTAATGATAATCTGTGTGCTTTTCTTTCATATTTGATTTTTTTCTGTTAGAGGATTTTCTTTTTATGCAACCCTTATTATTCATTTCATAAACCTCATGATTGCAAATTAAATAGTAGACATACAATACCATAAATGTACATTACAATGTATCAGTTAGTTGATGGATTTTTTTGTTGTTTTTAACGTCCAGAGACAAATATATATATATTTAGAAGATGAAAGCAGTTTAACAATAAAACTGTCTATTAGGTTGTAGGGTATATTAATGATTGCGTAAAAGAATTAAGCCTTACGACAACTGACCTGAAGGTCTCATCAGAGTTGGTTCTTTCGAATGTACAAAGTGTAAATATCATGAGATACTCCCGATCAACCAAAAAGAGCAATTCAATGCATCGTCTCCAATTTTATTTTACTTGACAATTTTATTAATCATTCCGCAATCAATCGGGCGTCTTTTCAAAACCGTTTTTGTTGACGACTACAAAATGACAAAGATAAAAAGGAAATAGCTGAGATTTTGTATGATGTCTGGAATTTTGGGCATATCTGCTTAATTCAGTCATCAAATGTATTGCACATTCACAGCAATTGCTGAAATTTTAGTATCAGTTACCCTTAGTGTACAGCAATGATTTAGAGAAACCGAATTATAAAATAGTATTTCTTTATATATAATAGTTCTTTTGGTATAAATAATGCTGAAGATTGTCGATGATCAGTTACTGTACTACTGCATGTTTTTACTATGCACATCAAAATAGTGACGAGTTTGTTATTAAATGTTAATGAAAAGAAACTAAATGTGTTTGTTTAAACCGCTGTTCATGTATAGATTCGGGTGCACATAAGAATGTTGAGAACATCAAATGTAGCTGTTTTCAAAGACTATCAATTGAATGTGCCTAAAGTTATGAAAAAATATGATTCTCGAGCCTTGGTGGGAAAAGTCCTTGTTCGTATGGATATAAAAATTAGAAAATATGGTATAAATGCGAGTGAGACAATAATCCACTAGAGACCTATTTATATAAGACTGATGTATGTACAAAACAAAAAACGAAAAACACATATGATAGACAGCGTCTGACTTTGGATAAACATATACAGAATGTGAATGGGTTGAACATTTCTGCGAGCACTCAACCCTTCCCTAACCTCGGCCAGTAGTGTATGGCGCAACATAAGAACAAACTGTATAAATCAGTTTAAATGGTTTGACTCATCAGATGACACCAAGTACTAAAACAACTAATACAAGACTAAATTCACAATGTACAGTAACTGATCTAAAAGTACTCGCAGTTACTGAAAGCTAATTCAAAGCCAATTACAACTAATAAATATATCATAAATTACCAATTAGTACATATCCAATTGATTTAAGGTAGATGGGGTGTCTAAATTATAATCCATAGAATTTTTTAATAATTTGCCAAAATGTAGTTTATATCATGCTTTTTTAAAAAAAAATAATAAAAAGAATGGGTCACGGGCCTTATTTTCACGCTACAGGTTGTGCAAAATTGACAGATTTTGTATAGATTATGCATGGAAAACCCAATTTTCTGACATAAAATGAAAACAACACCATAGAATTTTGAGATAAAATATGAGAAGATAGCTCTAATAGTATGCTTTCAGATAAGAAAAAGAAAAAATGGGGTCACCGGACCCGTTTTCTTGCTACATAATAAAAATAGGTAAATTCCTAACACATTCTATTGTAAAAGTAACTTTATCAGATTTATCTGCCCTTACATTTGAGTTGCCTCCTCTTATGTGGCAAAGTTGGAAAAAATAGAATCAAACAAAAGTATTCTGTTTTTTTGTAAATACAACCATAAATATGATAAAATATGTCATTTTCTATATTGAAATGAAAATTCTTACACATGAATTACCTACTACTCTCAAAATTTGCACCTTTTATTATAGATCTAGACCGATTGTTTTCTGGTATTTCAAAATCCAAGATGGAGGAAGACACCCTATCTACCTAAAGTGTAAAGACGTCATAAAATAAACATGAACATGTACATGTATACATCTTTTGCAAGTCAAGTAATCTTTGACGAGATATTCCGAATCGGGCGTACTTTGCTTTCATTCTTAATAGATAGTTGATTACGCATATTTTGTTTCATAACTGGGATAACTCTGTTTTTATGGTATAGCAGTCCCCGAGTATTTCTTTTTTAATGCTTACCAAAAATTTCTATAAACCAATTGATAAGATTAGAGATTTGTTCGTAAATCTGTTTTGTTTATGCATAAACTATTTTCTTTCTTAGTAGTTCAGTTATATTCGCGACAAGAATTCTAACTACATGATTAATTACGGTTGCTGAGTGTGAGGCCATTTACTGTGCGATATGCATAGAAACAATACGTCTACAAAATTTGTCATTAGTCGAACTTCATACGATTTGGTTTTAATCTCCTTATTTAAATTTCTCAGTTGCTTCACACCTTTTTGCTGATATTGAACATTCTAAAAGGTGCAAATAGGATTACAAAGGAGGTATTGCATGCAAAACAGGATATTCTTCTTTTAATTTCACAACACGTGATATTATAATTAGAATTACAGTAAAGAGCTTAAGTGTAGAGTGTTTTGGTGTTCATATAATTACATCTTATGTAATGAATAAAAGGAGATGTTAGACTTTAGATAAGCCCTCTCTCAGACTTAGATCGTTTTTTCTGTACTTTTGAATTGTGAAGACATGTACATGTACGAATCACGATGATGCATAACCGCCTATCTTCATTGGCCTCATTATATACGAAAAGAGGAGATATATTTACGATGATATGGTTCAAATTATACTGGTCATTTGAACTTGCAAAATTTTATGGATTTCGGTTATAATTGATTGTCAGAGATATTGATTTTGTATTCATCAAAATTAAATTTAGATACTCATTACATTTACTTGATCTATCAATCGAGAAAAAGAGCGATTTTCCAATAAAAATAGAAGGTCAAAGCCGACATGATACAGTTAGAACAAGAAAGAAGACAACGAAAAATAATTCATAACGAAAACTAAAACCCAGATGATTTTACGGATGCAACTAAAACCAAGAGAGAAAAATGTACCGAATGGAAAATATTTTCTCACCTTTATAATACATCTGTAGTGATGTCCATCGTCAACGTAATTCAGTAGCACAAAATCAAATGAACAAAATCATGTATTGATCATTTCAGTAGCAAACAAATACAAAATAATTGCTAAAAAACTAAAGTCGTAACGCAATTGAAGCGCTCTAAATTTTATAACTGTCTGAATTGTTCATTAAAGAAATATGATAGACTATTAAAATTGAGAATGGAAATGGGGAATGTGTCAAAGAGACAACAACCCGATCATAGAACAGACAACAACAGAAGGTCACCAACAGGTCTTCAATGCAGCGAGAAATTCCCGCACCCGGAGGCGTCCTTCAGCTGGCCCCTAAACAAATATATATACTAGTTCAGTGATAATGAACGCCATACTAAACTCCACATTGTACACAAGAAACTAAAATTAAAAATAATACAAGACTAACAAAGGCTAGAGGCTCTATTGTATGTTTATCCTTTTTTCCGTACTAACATGCGCATTTATTTTTACGAGCACTAGAAATTGTTGGCTTATTTTAAACATCTTTAAAGTTAATGGTTGTTGTTGTATTGGGGGTTTTCACCCTGGTCCTTACCAGTGTCCTACTCTTGAACCGCAGTGGGTCTTCAACGGCACAGGAACCCTTCCCGATATTAATTTGATTTATTTTAATTTTTTCCCTAACTTTGTCCTTGAATGCTTCCTAAACTAATAGTTGTATTATTTTTTTCGTGTTCTACAAATTGTAAAGTGAAAAAAAACAACTGTGAGAGGTGAATCAAAATACATGCACTGATTACTTCATGTGTGATTCTTTAACGGGATACCAGTCTGCCAGACATGGTATCAACATTGTACTGACAACTGGGAGGATTATACTTTAACCAAGTGCAAGTCTACTAGTAATGGTAAAAATCATGTATATGAAATCAAACAAATCGAAATTATTTCAATTCGGGATTAACCGTTATAGTTTGGAAAGCTAAATATAGTTAGGACATGGGTAGGTACGAATTCAAAACGGACATAAAGACGAATCTACTTCATGTTTTTTTCTTCAAAAGTCACCAAACAATGCGCAATTCGAACACTGGTGTGCCTGACTGTGACTTTGGGATGAAGAAAATCAATAAAAACGCTGTCCCATTGCTTTTGGGTTTTTTTATTTACGTGTCACAAGCAATTATCTCTGACAAAAATCCTATATATTAAGGTATATAGGATTTTTTTTAGAGACAATTGCCTGTGGTACGTGTAGTGAGTTTGTATCTTGAATTAATAAATCATATCCTTGCATTTCTTTTATATCTGGAAAGAATGGCATCTGTAATTTTGTTTTTCACATTTATTTCGCATACAAATTTACGACATCAAGTAAGAGATACAAAATCATTTAAAAGAGCTATATTTGAAATTACTTTAATTCTAATATTTCAAATTTTGCCAATCGATTTATATAATTTATAGTGTATTTTTTTTTATCATATATCAATTGCATGGAAAGTTACTTCAGAAAACAACAATGATTTATTTATTTTCAAAAACTTTGTCTTTTAAGGCATAAGTATTGAACTGCTTGTAAGTGTGTATGAATTAAGATCTTCAGTATCTGCTTCGTCTGCCCGGTCGACCTCTTAAATGCTGCAAGAAAAAAATATATATTTCAGTGGTTACAAAGTTCATGCCATTTTTTTTAATACTTTTAATATTTCGAGTACCCCCAAGAAAGATTTGCTATTTATACAGAACATTCCTTCTTTCAGGTACATATAAGGAGATGTGGTATGACTATACCAATGAGATAACTATCCATAGACCAAAGGAAAAAGATGTGAACAACTATAGGTCATTGTACGGCATTCAACAATGAGCCATACAGTCTAGTAAGCTATAAAAGGCCTTATTAATTTCGGAGTTTCAAGTTATTGGATCGGTGGTTTTAATAGTACCCACTCACGAAGAATAAAAATTTGAAAGACTTTATTTTTGGTCATATGAAACGAATTTCTGGTAAATATAATGTTAAGAAAGTTATTGAAATAATGTATGCATACATATACTAAACCAAGTTCTTTGTGCACGGTATTTACATTTTTAACGAATCCATAACGTATAATCAACAACAATAAATCATTTGGTGATTGTTGATCGAAAACTTTGGCCGTTAATTAACTTTCGGGTTTTGTTGCCGATGATTTCCGATCGTAGCTTATAGATTGTAAAACTTTGTATACGTATTATTTATCTTTAATATCCGATGAAATCTTTTTTTTACATAAGATTGTCTTTCTTCTACCATAATTCAGCTTTCTCCAATAAACTGTTTTATTCGTGGCAGCTTTGTATATGATAACTGTGTAATCGTAGCCGATTTTAATTGATAAACATGGTAACATCTAATACATTTTTTAAAACTTACAGAAATGAAATACAATAAACGGAAGATACCATAGTATGCACAATTGTTTTTTTTTTTTGAAATGTTTTCTTTCTGAGAAAACCTTCATCAGGTACGCTCGAGATAAAAATATGGGTGATAAATAAAGGAAAAATCATTTAACAACATTAAAATCAAACATGGACTAACAGAACAGAAGATTTTAGTAAAATCAAAAAAAGAACTCGATTTAAAAATTGGAAATTAACAATCAAAATGCATCACTTTACCCACGCCCAGTACTGAAGCAATGGCTAGTTGGTGGATATGGTACCCTCGGGTGATATTCCATCACAAGCGACACCGATCTAGTAGTAGAAATATAAAATGGTGATACTGATTTCAATGCTCATGTTTCTAGATAGCCAGGAACAAATATCATAGTTGTAATACTTACGGCTAATGATGGTAGGCATCGTCTGAGGCTAGGGTTCCAGGTGAATGATCTGGGACAAAAAGAACGCTTGGGCATAGCATTCAGCATATTATCTGACATACCATCAGCTCCATCAGACCAATCTTGATCAGGGTAAATGGGATTGCACTGTATCATCTGTAATACTGAAATTGTTTTATAAAAAGGGATAGTGATCAGGGTATAATGATGACATTTTTAGCAGTATTTGGTTTATTAATTTTGTGTTATTTTTTTAAATGTCTTCAGAAATGTTTGAAGTTTTAAAATGTGAGATTTGAAAGGTGTATGCACATACATGTATCAGCTTAAAGCCAGCCCGTCTTAGATCAACATTTCCTATATAAAAGATTGAACATAAAATTCTATAAAAACTACAAAAAAGTATATAATAAAAATTTAGAAGTATGTAATTTTGAAAAGAATCATATTGGTGTCGAAAAACTGATTAACACCTTAAAGTGATCTAGAACCTTGTTGAAAAAACGAAATATATATTTTGAATTGTCTGCATTCGAAAAGCTTATTGTTTCTCAAAACGTATTCTATATTGTCTACGAAATATTGTGTTAATTAAACTTGTATTTTAGTTTTCAATCCTATCTAACTTGTTGCCGTCGTGATAGAAAGTCCAACATCGGCCGAATGCAATAGATAAAACTAGCTAATTAATAATCAATATACTAAGTTCATTTCAAATTAAAAGTGTTTTTTTTTTTCGAAATTAATACGAATGAATGAACTACATGTGCAATACCGGAAAGCATTTCTATTCTAGTTATTGGACAATTGATAACGAACATTTATTATGCATAATAGTCGAACATTATAAATTATTTAAAAGCTTATGTGTGATACGAAAATTTATTATGCATATTAATCGAACATTATAAAACATTTTAAAACTTTAATTTCAATAAAAACATATTATTAATGTATTCATGAAACAATTCAAATGTAGTCATATTTAATAATTTCCGATTTATGAAAGTTTTGTCTATAAAATTGGAGCTCTATTCTAAAAACAAGACAGGACGAATGTTTCATTTTTTGTAAATATTTCCTATGTAGCTGTGCTGTATATCAATGCCAGTGTCCACACTTTGATTTTAAATGGAAAAAACATACGGTGTCCCCAATTACTGCAATATTGAATCAAACAGCACATGCGCTTGGGACATGTACCCGTCCCCATTTTTATATGTGTTTCTGTGGTTTCTTTTCATTTTTTTCAGTAATGTTTTCGAATATTTCAAGTAATGTAACTTTATATATCAAAAGCGCCCCATACCAAAATAAATACAATATGATAGTTTTCAGCAATCATAATAGATACTATGCTCATTTGTCGAATTTAGTTTTTAAATGAGTAATGCAGATGACGTTCGTGTTTAGTATTAGGTGACTTGACTTATTCTACAAAATAACAACCCTTTGGCTCAGACAAATTTAAGTATGTGACAGATTTCTGCCTCGTTGTCAGCCTTTAAAAGACACCTGGAGCTGATTCTTTGTAAATACTTTGCAATCGAAAGTTTTAGATCCTTAGAAGGCATAAGTATGGTTGAACTCCTCTTGATTTTAACACGGGTTCGCATGAACAACTGTATATTTTGAATAGATTTCTAGATAGGGTTTCCTGGATTACTTTTGACAATTGGTTGCAAATAACAAATTAGGCTCAAATTAAACATTGGAAATACAGAAAGAATGCTAACCCATATCAAAGATCAGTTGTTAATGTGATCTCCGAACTTATTCATAAGAACTTTTAAAGTATTTAAATTTTTGTCTTGAAAAAGATTGAAGCTGAAAACAGTACAATTAATAAATATAGGCAACAGTTTACCGACGTGCAAGTCTCATAAATCTATTAAGAACTACAAACAAAAACTGAGGAAAACGTCAAGTGCGTCTCCTGCTATGTATGAAAGCAAGCTTGTTGAGATCTTCAAATCATTTACAGTAGTTTAGTGGTTAATACTGAGGTGAACGTTAACCAGCCATTCATCATCATAATATTGTGGTGGACGTTGACCAGCCATCCATCATCATGATATTGTGGTGGACGTTGACCATCCTTCCATCATCATGATATTGTGGTGGACGTTAACAAGCCATCCATCATCATGATATTGTGGTGGACGTTGACCAGCCATCCATCATCATGATATTGTGGTGGACGTTGACCAGCCATCCATCATCATTATATTGTGGTGGACGTTGACCAGCCATCCATCATCATGATATTGTGGTGGACGTTAACCAGCCATCCATCATCATGATATTGTGGTGGACGTTGACCAGCCATCCATCATCATGATATTGTGGTGGACGTTGACCAGCCATCCATCATCATGATATTGTGGTGGACGTTGACCATCCATCCATCATCATGATATTGTGGTGGACATTGACCAGCCATCCATCATCATGATATTGTGGTGGACGTTAATGATCCATCCATCATCATGATATTGTGGTGGACATTGACCAGCCATCCATCATCATGATATTGTAGTGGATGTTGACCATCCATCCATCATCATGATATTGTGGTGGACGTTGACCAGCCATCCATCATCATGATATTGTGGTGGACGTTAACGAACCATTCATCATCATGATATTGTGGTGGACGTTGACCAGCAATCCATCATCATGATATTGTGGTGGACGTTTACGATCCATCCATCATCATGATATTGTGGTGGACGTTAACGATCCATCCATCATCAAAATATTGTGGTGATTACTTAGTGAAGGTTTATTTCATATGGGCAGTTGAAGGACTTGGAAGATTTTATAATTTAATAATCTAAATCGTAATTTTTACGTGATAAATAATGTGACCCTGAAACAACAAAATCGTGAAAATAATGGTTTTTTTTTCTCTTATATAAAAATCATAAGATGTGATATGACTGCCAATGAGACAACTCTCCACCAGAGACAAAATAACGTAGATATTAACAACTATTGTTCATCGTTCGGCCTTCAACAATGAGCAAAACCCTTATTATTTAGTATGATTCCAAAACTTTATTCTTTCGATCACTGATTTATGTGAGTCGTAGTACAAATTTAAGGGTTTTCTAAAAAAAATAACCTTCTACGAAAAGAACAAAGTGTAGGAAACTGCATACACTTCAAACTATTTGAATAGATTTTAAATTGAATTAAACGACACTATTGACACACGTTATCTAAATGTTTACAGTTTTTACCAACCTCGAATACATCAAATTTAATTTAATTCGGTGATCAATGAGCCTTCTTCTGGTAATGATTTGATAACTTTAGACTAAAAACTGAAATTATAATTCGATTCCATGCGACTCAATTTCGAAGTCTAATGGACAAATAATAAGATCCTATGCATGTTATACCAATTGAAATGCGAAGTTTGATGAAAGAAATGAACCAATTCTACAGTGTCAATGGAATCCCACGCTGCCTAAAAAAATGATTCATTTACACCTTGTCCCATGTGATACTGAACAATTAATAATCATGAACTAAGATGAAAAACACATTATTTTAATATTTACAGAGTAATTATGTGTCATCGATGAGAATTATAACGATGTCTGTTTAATTGGTTTTAATATTAAATGATCGGAGCTGCAAAGTTAAGTAAATCAAATTACGCATGTTTCCAAGAGAAAAATGACAAAATACTCTTCAATAACCGCTGTAAGAAATCTTCGATTTCCAAATCTGTAAAATATTAAATCAATTACAAATTCTGAAGGATAGTTTTGGAGTCAACATCAGCTAATGTAATGTCAGTGGAAATCTATGTTCGGGCTGATGGAGAAAAAATATTCAAGATTTTATTTCATATTGTGTAACATGAATCCATACCGGCACCATATATATGTTACAGTACAAATTGGAATTCAGTAGGTAGTACACATTGAATTTCAATATTTACAAGTGCAATAAATAAATAGATGTGGCATGATTCCCAATGAGACAACTAGCCACCAGAGAACAAATGACGTAGATGCTAGCAACTATATGTCAACATACGGCCTTCAACAATGAACAAACCCAAAACTGCATAGCAAGCTTTAAAAGTCCCCGATGTGACGAACAAGGTATTTAACAATTCAAATGAGAAAACCAATATCCCATTTTTTCAATTCCAGTTTGTATTGTAAAATTTATATATACATATTTGTCGCAAGGACATGACAGAAAAAAATAGTACTAATTTAAGGAAGTGTCTGATAATGCAATTATAAAACGGGAAAATATCTTACCGTTTGTTTAGCTTAACATTACTATATGATAATAAATCTGCAATTCTATATATACTTAGGTATTTGTTAATATGAAGACTAAAATCTATTTTTGCGTTCAAGTACCTTAGCATTGGAATACACACTGAAAGGATGAGACTCGACGCCAACGCTTCTATTACACAGCGAACAGGTTTTGTGTATACCGTCTTCCTATTTCTATTGAAATTATTAAATTGGAAGTTTGTAATTTTATTATCAAATTCTGATTTTGTTCTCGTTCCTTTAACAAATATTTTTCCTGTGAAAATTCACTTTTAAACAAACTGTAAATTTATTGAATAACAAACTTGATGGTCTATCTATACGGACATTTTTATTCGATACATGGTGATCGAAACAGTTGAAGACTGAAATAAGATTTTAATAGAAATGTAATATGTCGGTATTGTTGCTGACACTTGTGACTATGGAAGCAATTTATTGTGTTTGTATCGTTACTTAAATTGACAAATTATCGTCAGACGTCTTTGTCAAGCCTATATATATATATTACCAGCAAAATTAATGATGTTCCTTAAATGATATATATTCCTTAGATTTAAGCAAAAAGTCAGATATTTTTTATGATAAGTTTGTTCATTTTCATTCTTTAAACATATGGCATTTTCCATTAATTCAACACAGGGATTTTTTTGTGTACTTTTTGGATTTACGATAATGATTTTTTCAATAAGAAAAAGGGCTAGACAGAATGTCTCAAATTCTTTTTCTCGTTTCTTCAGATCTATTGAAATGAAATGCAATGAATTGTAAAAATAGGAGGAAGTTGTATTTATTAGAGTGTTCCTATTTGAATTTGTTGAAAAAACAATGAAATTGATTATTATATGCAATGA